AATAGGATTTTTGAGTTTTCTCAGGTCCCAGCCAATGCAACAAATCCCATTTCCACATTTTGTTGTTAGCCAAATTCAACACTAACGATTTGCGATCATGGTGAAAATTTTCAGGTGGATCTCAAGCTTAAGTTATGCCGAGGTTCATCGATCCGAAAAATCCTGGTTCGGGAAGCGAAGTCTTACATTGCTACCGAGCTTATACTGGGAACTGCTCGAAAACACCATAAAATCCGATCATCTGTCTCTGTTGCCAAGTACTGTGTAAAAAAACTACCGAAGGATTGCACAATACTCGCCGTTGATAATGGAAAGGTTGTGTTTCAGAGAGAAGCCTCTTCGATAACCAATGCTTGTGCAAAAGGTTGTTGCTTCTGTATTTATTTCAAAATAAGAATCTATACGTCATACTTGTTAAGTTCTGACCTTTTTATTTTATTTTCATTATTTTTGCAGGAATCAATGATCACCGCGGACATGGTTTACTTGGTGCAATTCAAAGGTCACTAAGTAAGAATTCCAAAGTACTACATGGAGCAAAAGCAGATGAGAATCTGGCAGCAACAAGTGATCCGGGTACATGTAGAAATTTGGAGTTGGCCTTGGTAAAAGCAAGTTCTGATTGTGAAGAGACTGCTTTGAAAAAGAAATGTTCGATTTGTTCCCCGGGTTCTGTTTCACAGGAAAATTCTTGTGTCCAATCAGCAAATGAGTCTTCTGGTGACGGCGATGAAGATAACAACTCGATGGCTCTAGTGGCTGTACCAAAGCTAGAGGCTGCATCAAGTTCGATTTCGCTGTTGATAAGAGAATTGCCTGAACTAAGACCTGGTTGGCCACTTCTTCGCCGAGCTATTTTATCAGATCAGCTACCTTCTAATGGGCCTTTGCGGCAGACTTCTGTGGTTCAGTGGGCAATGCAGTTGCCCAGCAGACACTGTTTGGCAATTGCGGATTCAAAGCAAAGTATCTGTGATAACAAAGAAGATCAAGCTTCTGAACTAGATGGTGAAAGTGGGGCCATCGTTCCTGTTGATGCTGGGACCTTTTCCGCTCCATCTTCTCCTTGCAGTTCAAGAAGCCTACCAGAAGAATTAGAGGGACTTCATGAGAAGTACTCTGCAACTTGCAGATTGTTTAAATACCAGGAACTTCTGCAGGCAACATCGAATTTCATTCCTGGTTGGATCACCTAACTTGTATTCATTTCTGAGATAAGATTTTTGGATCTAATAAACTCTGAATGTTTAGTTGACTTGATCGTTTTTGTAATTCCAGAAAACTTGATTGGAAAAGGAGGAAGCAGTAAAGTTTATCGAGGTTGCCTTCCCGATGGCAAGGAAATCGCTGTGAAAATCTTGAAGCAGTCTGAAGATGTATTAAAGGAGTTTGTATTGGAAATTGAGATTATTACTGCTTTAAATCACAAGAACATTATCTCACTCTTTGGATTCTGTTTTGAGGATGGCAATCTTCTCTTGGTTTATGATCTCCTATCAAGAGGAAGCATGGAAGAGAACCTTCATGGTATGCAGTAACACGATAATTTCTGTTTAACACTTCAAATGTAACTGAGATTGAAGATTGTGGTGTCCATAGTTCATGATTTACTTTATATTTTATGGGCATTCTCTAAATCAGGTAATAAGAAGGACCTGAACATGTTTGGGTGGGGCGAGAGATATAGGGTGGCTATTGGTGTAGCTGAGGCACTGGAATTTCTACACAACGCAAATGCTAAACCTGTGATCCACAGGGATGTGAAATCATCGAATATACTACTTTCTGATGATTTTGAACCACAGGTAATTGAACTTGACCTTCAGTGTATTGGCATTGATATTTTTGGTTTTCACTTTCTCAATATGCTAACCATTTTGGTTGGTTTCAGTTGTCTGATTTTGGACTAGCTAAGTGGGCACCGATGTCCTCATCACATATAACATGTGCTGATATTGCAGGGACCTTTGGGTTTGTACTTTCTTCAACTTCTAAATCCTGTTTGGATCCTTTTCAAAAACAAAACATACAAAAAAAAAATCTGAATTGAGTTAATTTAAACCATTTTGTATGTTGCAGTTACTTGGCTCCTGAATATTTCATGTATGGCAAAGTTAATGACAAAATCGATGTCTATGCATTTGGTGTTGTACTCCTCGAGCTTCTTTCAGGAAGAAAGCCTATAAGTAATGACCATCCAAAGGGCCAAGAGAGCCTGGTTATGTGGGTATGTCCTCTACTCATTGGTTTACTCACATTATGATCGTGTTTCATACTAAAATGCAAATCACCTCTTCTAGGCAAAACCAATTCTAAACAGTGGAAAGGTTGCCCAATTATTAGACCTGAGCCTAGCCAACAGCTATGATCGTGACCAAATGGAGAGGATGGTTTTAGCTGCTACTCTCTGTATCAGACGTGCACCACGAGCTCGACCCCATATGAGCATTGTAAGTCATTCCTCATTTTCGTTTTTTCTTTTTTTTATAAAAGAACTCACCTCCTTGTAATTTTACTTTCTAAGTATCTAAGATTGCATCCAATTGTATGGAAAAGGTTGAGCTGAAATGATTTTGTAGTGCTTTCTCAGTTTCATATTTAGAACTTTAGAGCATGGGATGATTAGCAACAGGGTCATTTTGCCCTAAATGCTTGGGTTTCTAAGTAGACAAACTAAATCTGTTTCTTAATTCTGAGACCTTGTGGAAATCCAACGTCTTGTGGAGGTGAAAATTTAGGTATTATTAAGAAAACCGCAGACAGTTATTTTGGCACGTCCCCCATATATCATGTCCTTTTAAAAAAAAATCCGTGTCAGCTTGTCCGTGTTGTGTTCCATGTCTGTGGATGTCAATCTCATCCCACTTCATGCACTACTTGTGCAAAAAGATGTACCTCTTACATTTTCCCAGTGCCTATATGCAGATTTCTATGGTTTAGTAGCATAATATCCTTGCGTGTTCTTGTCCATAACAGGTCTTGAAGCTCCTCCAGGGTGATTCTGAGATGACCAAGTGGGCAAGGCTACAAGTCAACGCTTCGGAAGGGACCGACTCGCTTGACGATGAAGCTTTTCCACGTTCAAATCTCCTGTCCCATCTTAACCTCGCGCTGCTTGACGTGGAGGAAGATTCTCTCTCCACGAGCAGCGTCGAGCAAACCGTCTCTTTAGAGGAATACTTGCGAGGCAGGTGGAGCCGCTCATCAAGCTTCGACTAAACTAACTCCATGTTTGACAAGATGCTAGTGAACATTGTGCTTCTTGTTTGTGTGATTCTTTTGTATATTCTTGTTCTTTTTTCCTTTTCTTTTTAATGGATTGCTTTACCGGTTTTCTGGGTTGCTTTATCACGGGTATTGGATGCGAGGTTGTTTGCTGGTGTTCTCCTCCTCCTTCCCTTAACTTAGTCTCTGATTGATGAATTTGTTGTAATTGTGAATTTTTTTTTTTGTTGTAAGGGTGTGCATGTAACTGTTGCTACATACATATCTGAAGAAGGCTAATAAAAAGCAATTCTGATTTTGATGCTCATTTTTTTTTTTTAATTCAAGCGTATTCGTGTCGTGCCTTGATCATTTCAACCTGTCCGGTAGATTTCCGTTCCATTTGATGATATGATGGCTCATAAAATGTTCACCAGTCAAATTCATATAACTTACTAAACAAGTCTAGCAAGACCATGTATCAACATCTTAATTTGAACAGTCCACTATAATTATTGGTTATTCATTGTAGGTACTGTTTTTAAGATCCGTTTTGGACCCTCTACAAACATCTTTAATCTGGATCCTCACTTTTATGCCAAACCTTTTATCCCTTGAAAACCATCAGGGAACCAAGGAAAACTCCTACACCACAACGTATATGGCAAAGCTAATTATTCTTTAAGTCCTATCATAAACTACTCGATCAGTTTCCACTTCACCTCCATTGCCACATACACCTACCTCCATTATTGTCAAATCATAAATCAAATCATGAATTTTTATGTTAAAAAAGTAAATTGTAAAATTTATTTTAGTTAACATAATGAATATATATATATTAAAACAAACAAGGAAAGTTAAAAACAAACAAGGAAAAAAAAAATATCCAAAACAGGGGCCACAGAGGATTAGGCCCTTTCAAAAACAACATGATTCATGTCTGCAGCCAAAAGATCTCTAATTCTTTCAATAAACATCAATAGCTCTTCCTTTGCAACATCCAAATTGGCTATAGCCCATCTGCGCATTGGTTTCCATCCCTTAGAACCCGGTTAATGGAGCAATTACATCTTTGGAAGAGAAACTTTGAATATTCAACAATTCATCACCATCTTGTATCAATTTCACAGCAAGTTAAGAGTCAGCTTTAATCGCTACATTTTCCGTTTTCTTTTCCAGAATAACAGTGAGTGAGTTATTCTGGAAGTCCCTACAGATCTTGCACAGCTCTGCCATAGTAGCAACATAACCACACACCTCTTTCGTTCTGAATAGACCGCCATGGTCTCCCCAGGGTTTCCTTTGGAACAACCATCAGCGTTAAGTTTATTCGTACCTGCAACAAGAAAAATCCATTTAATAAATTTGGTTTTGTATAAGACCAATGGATAAAGGGGATTGAAAGGCCTCTTGAATTTCGGTGGAAAAGCCAAAATGGCTGAAAACTTCCTTGAGCTGCCATATCAACACCCTCAAAGACTTACTTTACTTCTGCCTTTGAAGGTTTGCCAAATAGTTTCTCAAGTGCCCCTCAGACGATTGTAAAAACCATTACATTTTTATGGGGCACTTCTAGCAATCTGAAGTATAATGCATTTTTGTTGTGTCAGCCAACATCTTGGGATATCTTCCTATTTCTCAATACAAACCCAAAATAAATGTCTTGTGGGAAAATTAGCAGTTTTTCATTTGAAAGACTTTTGAAACCCCCTCCAAGTAAGGGGGGTTTCAAAAAGTCTTTAATTCAAAGAAAAAAATAAAATAAAATAAAAATTATGGAGGATGATTTGTACCGTTCAAGAGATCTGATCTAATCATGTGATTCATATCAGATGCCACCCTTATGGACTCCATATTAAAGTTAAAGTGAGGAGAGATAATGCTCTTAGATCCTTTGTTTTTGCTTGTTCTTTGAATGAATGGAAGGTAACAGAGATGTAATGATACCACTGGGAATATATAATTGAGGTGACGATGTTTGATTTCTCCTGGTAGCTAGTAAGCTTCATACTTCAACTCACTATTCAACACAAATAGCTCTTTACTTCACTCTGAAGCAGTTCATCAGATCTCTCAACCGAGATGAGTTCTGTGTGCCAAGATTTCTTGAACTCCCTCATCATCTCTATAAGATTGTAAGCTCCAAATGTAATATTATCAGCCATCCCCCGAGAGTGTGATCAATAATTCAAGGTCTCGAGAGGATCCTTTTCTGTGAATTTAGTTAATGAGCATCAATAAAGACTAACTTTGTTGGAAAATTTTCATTTCCAAGCACCAAAATCAATAGATTGGAGAGATACACAACCAAGATACAAATCTTTTAAATGCTGCTTACATAACCCAATTCGCCTTTTATTCAAGCTCGGATGGATACAACTTGAAAACCCTGTCTTCCAACCAGGAAACTTTTGTCTCTCCATCACGTGAAGCATATAAACACATGGTGCTGCAGCCACACAACCCATAACAAAGCAATTGCAAGGCCTTGATTGACTCACCATTCTTGATAAAGACAGCAAACACAAGCCACTGTAAGAAATTCCATACAATAAAGCATCATCATCATAATCAGAAGCTTGAGAATCCAATGTCAAATCCAGTGTCTCATTTGCCAACTCATATTCTAACTCCTGGGTTGCGGGGATTCTCCTCAGTTCCGAGTCAAATCTTTTCTCTATCTCAGTTTCATGTATTCGATACTTTGCTGCCAGTGTCCGGATGCAAGACTTCCTTACCTGATCACAAATAATGAGCTTTATCTCACTGAAGTTGTGACAATCACTATACCACCTAAGCCATCGCGAAACTATTCCTGAAAACCAATCAACAATTTGAATGGTATCTTGTAAAATAAGCATGCGTGATGCACAGGGGAACCCTTTGGCATTTACCAATCCATATCGTAAGAGACGCTTCTTTATGATGTTTACTGGAGCAATAATCTCTGTTGTGGTGACAGATTCAGTAGAAGAGGGGGAATTGGGCAAAAGAGCAATTATTGAATCTGTTTCAGAAGAAATATATTCTTCTGCACACTTCTGGAATTTATAAAATGAATCTTTTAGGTCTTGGGGAAGTGCTGGTTCAGCAATATACTTAGATAAGATAAATTCTTCACTTTCTGCACATTTAGCATTCACATCTTGCATCCATATTTTTAGTAAAAATTTGTACCAGTGATCAGTTTCCATCCCAGGTTTACGAAAACTGGATATCTGACTCAAAAGAGACCTACTATCAGCTAAATGCTTGATCTCAGATTCTTTAACCTTCTTCAACCCATGAGCCAACCATTTCTTCCCGATTCTAACTGTCCCTGCATCCCAAGACTCTCGTTTTTGAGAAGCAAACAACTCGACCTTCTCCTTAAGCTTGTGAACAGCTCTTACTGCCGGGCTTTCTCTAACATTTCTTGTAACTAAAGTGCCAAGAAATCGAACCCCAAGTGAACCATTACATGGCAATACTTCTGCTTGATTATCAACATCCAGGTGGAGAGAATCCTGCACATAACTCTGAATCTCAGACTTGAAAGCAAGAACTACATCTTTGGAACCTGAAACAGCAAAAAAAATCTCATCCATGAAGCGACAAGAATGTACTCTTACACACGAGCTCACCCCACCACTGTGCTCGATATTATTGCCTTTCATCTGTCTTCTAAACCAGTTACGGAGCTTGGAGTGGGACCCATCATGTTCACTATGAATCCCTGTATCAAAAGCTTCATATCTCATTGACATACTGTACAACTCACGATCAAGCAGATCAAGATATATATTCATTAAAATTGGGGACAAAACTCCCTCTTGTGGAAGACCATGGCCTTTCGGAAAACCCCCGAACTCCAAATTTAGTACTTGGGCATCAAACATGCTCTGGATGATAGCATACAAGTTAGGATCTTCTATCTTGGTCTCCATGGTGGAGATGAGCTTAGCAAGGATACAAGCATCAAGCTTTTTGTTAATAAGCAATGTAAACCACCAGTCAGGATTAGAGATTCCTTTGCGTATGTACTTTAAGGCCGAGAAATGTCCCCTTCCGCTTCGACAACCATGCGAGATCTTAGAAAAGTGGGGCTTGTAAACCACCTCCAAAGCTATCCTGATAGCTTCTTGAAGAACCTTCAACTTTAGATTAGGAAGGACAAGTACTTCTTTATGTGCACCTTTTGTCGAGATAGAGAAAACATTGGAACCAACTTCAAAATTCCCACAAGAGAGCTCTTCTGCCAAGGATTCAAAAGGGTTGCAATCTCTCTCTGAAGCTAAGACGACATTTGAGTTCACTCTAATACAATTATAAGCATCCTGAAGAGTCTTTGGATCAGCAATCACTTTGCACATGAGGTCTTGAAACTTCCCATTTATATATTGCTCCTTCACCCTCTTCTTTATACTAAGTTCAAGCGATCTCTTAAGCTCTGCACGAGTCTTGGGTTTCTTGTCATCAATATTAGAAGATTCATCAACTAAACAGGCTAAATCCTTTGCCAAAGTCGCCTTGCCACTATTTTTATTGTTGTACCTGCCAACTGCTTCCAGAGTAGAATAAACTGAATGAGCTAGTAACCTATGAATAGGTCTTCCTGTTACCACGAATAGATATTTAGATTCAATATTGGATTCTATGAAGCAAAAAACTAAAATTTGCTTAGACAGATTTTCACATGAAAATGATGGTCAAGAATCAACTTGGAAATTTGAAATGGAACCATTTGAACTCTTTCCTAAATCCCAAAACTTTCAAGTACATTCAAACATAACACAATAAGCATCTTCAGATGCAAAGTAAGAGTAATCAAATGAGCCTTACCTATATCAACCATAACCGATGACGAATTGAATCCAACATTACTGATTCTATGCAGCATGGTGCATTTCAGCCACTTTTGCCTGGCTGCAAAGTCCACAAACCACATATTTGCTTAAGATGCTAAATTTTCTTTCACTATCAGTTTCTTCAAGGCCAATCACCAACATTTTCTTCAAGACCAATCACCACCAACTCAAAAATTTACACGGACCCAGAAGCTAATTAACCTGATAAATGACGCCCAGAGTAGCAATAATCATTAGAAAACTCATGACATATGAATGGGGCAACAATAGTCAATCATGAAATACGCGGAAGCACCAAGAACAGTAAATTACTTTCTCATAAGCATTTCAACAAACAGGTTGTGTCCAAAAGCCAAAAACACAGCTCCCACTGTTAATTTGGACCTTCAAAATAAAGGGAAACTCAAGATTTTGGCTTTATTCGCTACCTTTATTTTCCGTCGATTTCTCAGCAACCAAACGAAATGTTGTTGATTAATCGACAGATGGCAGAAGTGTTGGGTTGAGCTCTCATCAATTCATTTTTCAAAACTATCACTTTTACTCTTTTTTAGAAGAGATATAAATATTTTAGAGTAAATTCTAATATTTAAGGTAATTGCAGGGACCTCTTTAAAATTTCAATAATGATACTAACCTCCTTTTTAATTTGAAAATTGTGAAGATTTTTTTAGGTTAAAAATTGCTAATCAGAAAGTAGAAATTAAAAGTAATTCTCTTCTAATTTTTGAAAAAAAAAAAAAATTGATACAACTTCTGTTTATAGTTTATTAAGCAAAAATAGCTTAAATAAATTTAAAAAAATTGATTATTTAAAAACTAAGAAATGAGTACTTTTAACTTCTGTTTTTTGGTTATCGAATTTTAGCTTAAAAAAAGTTTTACCAAACAAGACCTTTGCCTAATAAGTTATAAACAGAAGTTGTACTAAACAGTTTAACACAAACCCTCAAATTAAAATAAACCGTAAGCTGCTTGTATAATTCCCCTTAATGCCCCATTTGCCTCATAATTGGGAGTTTCTATTTACACCATAATTTCATCTCATTACACTTTATTTTGATTTTTTTTTATTTTAATTTTGTCCCCCCCACCATAAAATTATCATTGAGAACTCAAAACTAGAATCTTGTTTGTTAAGTTTTGTTTTTTTGGTTTATTGTTCTCATTTTCATTGTTTTTAGAAATTGAAAACAAAAGCATGTTTGGTATATTATTTTTATTTTCTAAAAAATATTACTGATATCAAAAAATTTGAAAATTTTGGCTATGAAAAAAAATATATATATTTCACTTGTTTTCACTTTCATTCTTTTCTTACCACGACCATATATTTATATATTCTGATGAACTCTAATCACCTTTTGACAAACTTTAACCCGTGACCTACAATGACACTTGGATCACCATGTCTACCAAATTCCAACAACTCTCACATTCGTAATTATTGGTACCACTTCTATCAACTCACCAAATATATATATATATATATATTTTTTTTAATTTTTACAAAAATAAAAAACAAAAACGCCCTTTTTTGTTTCTTGTTTTACAAAAATTGGCATTGTAAATTTTCAAAAATTCAAAATTCCCATTGTACTACTGATTTAAGACACTAGCCCTCCAGGAAAAGGCAATGCTAACCAGCTAATGGATGGTGGTTAATATTTTGATGTGTGTAAAATTATATAAAATGTATACAAAATATATGAAAATATGTGAAATACATTTTAAAATTCTAACTCTTTTAATATTATTTATTGCTAACGAATGCCCAGGTCGTTAGCTAGATCTTTTCTTAAAAACAAAACATTAAGGTGGTTTGGGAAAAGAGGGACCAAAACAGAGTTCCCCTTTTATGAAAGTATAGAAGATTAAAACAATCTCACACATTTCAAAAATAACAAAATATAAACAGTGGATTATACCTAGTCAGTCATACAATGTATAACCAAGAGAAGATGGAAAGAAATAATAAATATATTTCATAATTTATGCCTCTTATTGTTTAGCTTTAGGTCTTCGGAGTTCATCTGAAATAAAAAGAGTATTTCTATTTAATATTTCAGAGAAAAAAAGCTAAATCTTCAAAATTGCAAGAAATAGATTGAAGATGGAACTATTGGGATGAAATTTATGATTGTCAGAAAATGGATTGCCTAGCATTAAAATAAAATAAAATAAAATAAAGTAAATATTTTCCTAAAGCTTGGGCTTTGGCTTTTGTGATTCTACAGCCCATAAGGGAGGGATGACTCTTTGCTCTTGGGTTGCCTCGGCTTCTTTCTTGACTTCATTGTCATCATCAGCTAAAACGTCCTTTGAAAATGCATTGGGATTAGCCTTGATACAACTCTGCAAAGCCACAAATGGATGCACGCAATCCGAGCCCTACAACCACAACAACAACAACAAAAGAAGAAGACAAATCTATATATTAGAAGTTGCAAGATAGGGATTTGAGTGTAGTTCTTAACATACGAATTCATAATCATCTGAGCGATAATGCATGCTTTGATGATGAAGAGAATGAAGAATCTAAAATTTGTATCCCGAACTTAAAACCAGAAAATTTATCTATCCTGGCTATATATATGGACAATACACCATTGCCATTTATCAATGTGATTAGGTAGATCAGGCATTAAATAAAGCCCAAACTTCTTCACTCATGAAGGGGTTAACAAAATACAATTTGTTGCTGAAAGGACACACACACACACAAATGGTATAATAATGAAAAAATAAAAGCAAAAGGCAAAACAAGTCACAGATGAGGAAAAGAAAAAAAAAATTTTTGATACCAAAGTTTCAAATAAACACATCTCGCTTGACCTGGTCATCATTTGTCCACAAATTGCAGTTAAGATACATGAGATCATTGGCTTTGAAGACCAGAAGTATGTGTTATCAAAACCTGACTTTATTTCTCACAAAATGCAAGATATAGAAAGTAAGAACAATAATCTATTCAAAAGGGTAAGAATAATAATACAAGGGGATCATATGATCAACTGTTTTCACATTGGTTACCTTTTCTTCAGAAGTGCTCTTCAGAAAACAGAGGAAAGCCTCTGAGAACTGGGTACCACATGGCCCTTTCCTCAAGTCAGATATACAAGGGCATTCTAGTGCCTTCTGAGCTTTCGCATCAAGAGACTGAAATGGAGATAGTCCAACTTATTAAAGAACAATCAAACACACAAGCTTCAACTCTAAATTCGGAAAATCTAAATTTCAGAAGTGGACAAACCGCATTCTCATCGTTGCCATATGCAGCAGCTTCTGCAAAGCAAAAAATTAAAGTTTGTCAAATATCAGAGTGCTTTCTACATTTTATATATTCAGTGAAAAGCATGGGAAAAAAAACTCCAAGAAATTATTTGCGAGAGTCTGGTTACATCAATGAATACTGATGCAATCAAGATGGAGGACCAACCTTGAGAACGAAAGAAACAAAATTAAGCTCAAAGAAAAGAGTTTAAGTAGCCTTTCTAAGTTCAGGTTGTCATGTACATTTAGGACTCTTGTCATTAGGTGTATTTTTCTTAGTTTCCTTAGTTGTAAGGTAAACCTCCTTTGGAGGTGGACAATTGTAAGCTATTTACTTGTGAGCAGCTTGTTATTGATGTGGCTGCTTGTAAGCAGCTGACCACATACTTCTTGGCGTAGTGGCTGCATGTCGGATACATGTCAATAGGTAGTTGCATGTAAAGTCATGTGTCACTCACTTGTCACTGAATGGTTGCATGTAGGCATGAGCGGAATTAGAGGGGAGCAAGGGCCATGTTCGCCTCTAAATTGTAGCACTCTGGCTTGTTAAGTTGTATAATAATTAACATGATTTCTCATTGATTAGATCCACAACTATCAGACTAAATCTTCTCCAAGTTGTCAAATAGTCAAACCTAGGGTTCCATTTTTTATTTTAAGAAAACACTTCTATTTCTTAACCTTAGTGCTCGTTTGAAGCAAAAACATGCATCCACTAAGCCATTTGCAATATATTATTAACCAAGTCTTCTTATACTCTTTTTTTTTTTTTTTCTCTAAACTATTAGCAATCAATCTATATGCATTATATGGAACTTTATATATATGTATTCATATTTTCTTTTAGAATGGGAAACTGCCAGTAGTGTTGTTTCACATTTTACAATTGACATGAATAATTCAATACATCTTCTTCTTCTTTTTTCTGGGAATAAGTATAAAAAACTATCATGAAAAGGCACCATGGGGCTGCAACTTGTATAGTTAAGAAAACCAATGTCAACAATAAATTAAATAAATTCAAAATAGTCAACAGAATTCAAGGACACTAAATTTGGTTATTGTTGTTGTTGACCTCAATCTTTTTCTTCTTCTTTTTTTTTTTTTTTTTTTTTGTGGTATTTTTCTTTGAAGAACATTCAATAGTTCTCTTCAACAGTTTAAGATTGTGTATTATATTTTGCACTGAACACAAAGAAATCAAATAGAATTTTAAGAACTGTGTACAAAATTTAACAAAATGAAAATAGATATAACATATTTTAGATCATGGATCAACAATACATATTGTTTTTGGAATGATAATTTATGCTAATTATAGTCTTAACAAGATTTATTTATAGCTGCATCTCAGCCACTAACCTTGTGGTTGTGTGTTCAAACTTGAGAGTCACCACTTTGTACAGATAATGCCAAAGGTTAGGTTAGTACCCAACCTCCCAAACTCCAATCCAGTGGGGCCTAAACTACATGTACTTTTCTTTAAAGGTCGTCTTATCTCGACTCTTATGTAAGGGGATATATTGCCACCACTGAAGAGAATGTCAAGATTACATGCACCATGCGATGAGATACACCAAAATAGTTATTTGGACAACAGTTTATTATTTTTTTTTAATAATTAATTCAGTCGAGACTGATTTGTGTGAAATGCATTTAATTTATGGTCAATATATATTGTCATATCTAACCATATTAAACGGATTTATCTACTTCATTGCTTTCTAGAACTCTTAGTCCTTGATTCTGCGAAGATTCTAGCATTTCTAATGGGTTTATATATATTGATGCACATATCTTCAATATAATGCATACTTGGTTGTTTGGTTATAGTGTTTCCTCCTTGTTTGTGTTCTTTTTACAATTCATGACACAATTCTTGTTGTTACTGTCAAAAGGCTATGGAACATAACCGCCTTGGTTTGTTGTGGTATGCTTGGCTTGGTTGCTGAGGAAATATAGGAGAAGAAGAGAAATTGGATTTGAAAATTTTAGGGTACTTCATTGTTTAATATGGTACACATATGTAAACAAGCTAAACAACTACTCATGGTTTCTTTTCTTTCATTTCCCTAGTTTTCTAGGCAACCAAACTGAGCTTGAGTCCCTCTTATGTGGTTTCTCTCGTTGATCCAAAAGGACAAAAATCCATAATCTGGAGTTCTTATATGTTTTTGTTTTTATTTTTATTTTTTGTTATTTTGTTGATAATTATGGGCTATTGGATAATCTATTTGCTTACGCGTCAAGCTGTGGTTAGCAAAGTATTGCAAGATCATGACAAACTAGGGTATGACAGAATCTGAATCCAGTTTTTTGCTGCCATCATGTTGATGATTTGTAGGGATATATAAAAAGACAAATGGCATCTGCTGGGAATTGTTGAACCACGTAGGGAAATGATTTATCACCTAAACCTAGCAATTGTACCCAAAAAAATAAAGGAAAGACAAGTGTATCTTTCATTTTGGGCAAACTACACATGTGGTCCTATAATTTAACTCTTGCTTGGTCCCTGTTGTTCTAATTCTATTAACATTGTCTTTTAATTAATTACATTGTGTCAATTTAATCTCATTAACATCCCTCAAGAAATTAGACAAAAATTAAGAACAAAATAGTTGAATGGGTCATTTCAAATGGTACGCAAACCCTAAACCACTTTAACGGGACTGAATGAGCTACTTTATTCCTTTATTAGGACATTGTCAATTGAACTAAGGAGGTGTTTGTTTGGACGGACTAGATAAAGAGAGATTGCAATGTAATGGACTATTAATTCTAGCTGGCAATGAGATGTGTATTTGACTATTAGTCTGACCTTCATTTTTTTAATTAAACAATATTGGACATGAATGAAGTCTAATCCCATGAAACAAACTCCTTCTAAATTGACACAATGTTAAAAATTCAATCGTAACGAGCAGGGGTGTAAGCAGTTTGGTTCAATCGATGTTACGAGTATATGCAACACCGAACCGATCCTTTCGGTTTTTAAGATTGAAAAACTGATACAGACCGTATGCTACAGTTTGATTTTATCGATTTTGTCGATTTGATATAGAAAAGAAATTTACATGAAATTTTAAAAGGTTTTATAGTAAATTACAGAATTTTATATTAAAAACAAATGAAGAAAATACATAAAAATTGCCGTATAAATGTTTTTCTCCACAATTTTTATTACAAAAGTGTATTATATTCACAATTTTTATTACAAAAGTGTATTATATTAATTACTTCTCATATAATTTTTAAGAAATTATAATATAAAAATATCTAAATATAAAATTCGGTCAATTCGGTTTGCATCGCTATAAAAAGTTTTAAAACCAAAAACAAACCGTAAATTTATGAAAAACAGACTGAAAACTAAAATTTCGGTCGGTTTCGATGGCTCTGCTTGGTTTTATTGGTTTTTCTTACATCCCTACTAACGAGAGTGAATGAGCTATTTTGTCCATTTATTTGACTTCAGTATAATTTTTTTTAGAAAAAAACATTATCAATTGGACTAAATTCACAGTATTAAAAATTCAAGACTAAATTAAAACTAAACTAGAATGACTAAATTGACGTAAACCTAGATGGACTAGAAAAGTATAATTTGCTGTTCAATTGCATCTGTTAGACTATTATTTATTAGGTTTTGTTCAAAAAAACTATGTAATTGCAATACTAAAACACTAAACACCGCAAATATATAGCATAAAAAGGATACCCAACCAAAAAAAAAAAAAAAGAAACAAGTAGAGAGAGAGGTAGAGAGAGACCAGCGATTAGAGATTCCATGGAAGCAGGTTGATTGGTTTCCGGCGATGACGATGACAAACGCTCCGATTGATGATGATGAGGAGGAGGAGGAGGAGGAGAATCGGCTGCATCGCTTTGGACTTGACCCATTTGAACACAATGGTGCGGCAGCAGTAGACGAACAAAACCCCCCAATAGTTCTTTTCTTTTTCCGCAATGGGTTTAAGATCGATGCAAATCACTTGTTTTTGGGGTGCTGGTTTGTGTTTTTGTAAGTAGGAGTAGAGCAAACCAGCGTAGAGCGTCAGACTTCTTTTTCTTTCTTCTTAAAATAAAATACTCCGACTTTTATGTTTAAAATTTGTTTTATTTTGAAAATTTTAAAACAAAAACAAACAAACAAACAAACCAACAAATAAATCAGGATTAGCAATTTTATAATTAATGTTATGTTGTGTTTAGTTGAAAGAATTGAGGAAAGACTTAAAAAGATAAATAAAAAAGATTGGTAAAATATGAATAAATCACACTTATATTTCACTCTCCAAACCTTCAAGCAAGTACATCGCTAAGGATCAAATTTTAAGGATTTTTTTTTTTTTTAGAAAATTTCATAAAAATAGTGATTAATAAATATAATTGCAAAGTGATGGAGATACAAGTTTTAGTTGCATAGGTCCGTTTGAGAAGATGGTTTGTGACTAAAATAGGTACAAAAGATAAAATAGACTATTTTAACCACAACAAACAAAACATCACATTCAACTTATAATCATTACACTCTTCTCTCATAAAAAATGTCAAAAAACCAAAAAGTCTTTTCCAAACCAAACTTTTTAACCCACGCTAAAATAGCTAAAAAAACTAAAAAATCAAAAAACCAACTCACTTCCCAAACCAACCCAATGCATGAATAATGTACACATTTTCAATTATTTTTTCTAGTGTCCATTTTTTGATATTCTCCCTTTTTTGACCTTTTACTTTTATCACTTCAATTATTGTTTTTTTTTATTACTGTTAAATAAAGTAGTTTTTTTTTTTTAAAAAAAAAAAAACAATTGAATGTAATATTTTTACAAAGTACTTGATTTCCATCTTGTACAGGGAGCAAATATTCGTCACTGTCCATACTCCTCGTGTCCAAACTTCGCTTCGCTCCACTCCAAATAACCTAAAAATACAACAATGGTAAGCTACCCGACGAATGTGCTGTCGAAAAATCACTCAAACGGTCAAGTTAGCATCCTTAGAGTGGAAGAGATAGAGAGAAAGACAATGGGGTAGGTAACTTTTATAACCAGATGTCCCAGACCTATACATGGAGGTGCTGCGTCATTTATACAGCATCTGCGCGCACTACTCTGTTCGTCCTTTCATGGACACATAGTTGTACTGCTCTCTCTATTCCTTACACATGTACATGTCAAAACTGCCATAGAACATTTGGCCAAATAACCAAACGGTATTGACGCGCAACTATCGACGGGTTTTCCTTCTCGCACTCCAATTGGGTCACGTAGCAACTCCTGTCGTGATACCCGTAACCCGACACAAGGCCGTTTACTAACTTCCATCAATCGGCTCAACTTTGAGTTTTCCAATCGGTTAATCGTGGCTCGGCCAAATATTGCTCGGTCCATACAGAAGATGGTGTCATTAGCTCGAACTATCCTTAGGTCGGCTCATTCCACATGCAATCCAGTCCTTTGTTCAATGTGAATTCCTCTCAATTGCACACATAACTCGGCCCATTCTGCTCATTGGATTTTCCCCTCTCACATCTAATCCATGTTATGGGTCATGTTTTAATGATCTAAATAGTTTATTTTTATCAGACCTTTTGTATATATCATTATATAAAAAATTAAGTTGATCTAATAATCATAACATATTCAATTTATCATATTTATCTCAAAAAAATGAATGATAAGTATGTTTTTAAAAATATATCAATTTTTTTTTTGTGACAAATGTAATAAATTGAATAGATTATAAATACCGAATCGATCTAATTTTTTTATCTGGATGACATATACAAAAAATATTACAAAATAAACAATTAAAATTATCAAAACGAGACATGTAATACACCTTACAAGCTTAATTATCAAAATGAATCATGCCTCAATTGAATTTGATCTCCACTCTTATCTCGACAATTCATATCATATTACGCGCCGCTTATAATCATGATCATGCTCCATAAATCAACCCCATAGACTCCCTTGATCCTACTTAAAACATGTCCTTATGGGACACATTACATGGATAATTTTTATCATTTATTAATTATGTAAAATTACAAGCAAACCAAATCAAAGCTTCTTTTGTCACATATATTTTCTTAGTTGACACATCAATTTTGGTTTCAAATCTAGCTATGGAACCAAAAGTATAGTTGAACCATGGGTATACCTTCCAATGGTTGTAAGTTGATTTGTAAATTATTATAAGTTATTTTTGGAAGTTAATTTCAAAATAAAAAGGTTATAGTAAATAAAATGGGAAAAGATGGAGATATTATTCATTACTCCAGGAGCATTGCTCCACCCCCTATTTATGTTTAGATAAATATTTAATTGTCTCTCAAAATGGGATAAATAAATAGAACTCACTGTATTAATTAATAATAAAGAAGTTTTTTTTTTTTTTATTAGAGGAAATTTCCATTAAGGGTAGCCAAACGGCACTTACAAGTCCAACCACCAAGAGCAAACACAAACAAAATGAAAATATTACAATAAGCACATAGGTGAGAGCTATGAAAATTATCCAGACACATATCAGTGCTCGTGCTCATACTGCGAAGCAAAGCCAATTAAATCGGCATTAGAGCATGTCTGAAGAAAATCATAGTTAACAACCACAAAGAGTGTAGGCTCCAATCAAGCAACAAAAGACTCCAAAAAAACAAACAGAACAAAAAACCAAAGCAAAACAAAATCAAGCTTGACCTCAAACCTAAACAAGACCAGATCTGTGGAGGTGGTCCAGATCCGAGCAGATCTGGTGCGGGATGCTAAAATCAGCTCCGGCGTGAGGCGACAGATAGGGGAAAAAGGTAGATCTAGCTTTGACGGGGGAGAAGAGGGAAGCCCAACACAAACATCCACCAAGAGGGGAAGAAAACCTCTCATAGAGGGAGAGAAGTGGGAAGACAAGCTCCCGGAATTTATTTACAGCAAGCAAAGGACAAACCAGAGGAAGGAGGAGGAGGTGGCCGGCCACCGACGGCCCCTCCCCCTCCCCAAGCGGCGCTCCTCTTCCGACAGAACCCTAAACGAGTTTAGAGAGAGAGACTCTTGGTTTAGAGAGAGAGATGCTTTTCCAATATACCTACCAAAGAACGAGATGCTATATAAAGAAAGTTGAAACACCACTTAAATTTGTTCATAGAACAATAATGCATTTTGGTAACATTGATAAAAAATCAATTTTTTTGACCCAAAATAACCCAATTTTTTTGCCAAAAAAATCGCAAAAAAAAAAGTCAAAAAACTAAAAAATTAACTTTTTATTAACTTTTTAAAAACCACAATTAAGAGCATCTCTAACGGTGTACCAAATGTTTCACCAAATCTGAGTCAAAAAGGGGTCATTTCCTTAATTTGATACTTCGCGCTCCAACGGTTCAACATCAAATCCGTTTCATCAAATTTGCGCTGGGCAACCGGTTGGTTCACCGGCCGGTCAACCGGTAACGGCAAATCTTTTTTTTTTTTTACCGGTTTGAACCTTTTTTTTTTGAACCTTTTGAACTTTTGGTGGTCGACCACCTAGGCAATTTTTTTTTTTTTTTTTACTGGTTTGAACCTTTTTGTGAACGGTCTGAACTTTCTCCGGGGCGACCGGTTGGTCAACCGGATGGTCGACCCGTTCGTCTCATCCCAACGGCCAGGAACAGTGATTTGGTGAAATGCTTCGCCTGCACTCAGTTTGGTACCATTTTTGTTGAATTCTGGATTTGATATCGATTTGGTGAAACCGTTGGAGCTTAAAAAAGTGACTTTTTCACCAAATTTTAAATTTGATGCCAGGTTTGGTTCACCGTTGGAGATGGTCTAACTTGTTAAAAAGTGATCTGTAAAAGTTTTCAAAATTGAATGTGATGCGACATGTCAAATGCCCACCCGAAACAGTCTAAACGGGTCGAGTAGAACCCGATCCAAGACCCAACCATTTTAAAAGCCGAATGTGAGGTGACCAACCCCCAACCAAAACTAACCAAAAAAAAACTCGATAGTTAGCCATGGTGGCGGAGATTTTGATATTCAAGAGAGAAAAGCAGGGTCCCAACCCAACCTGATTACTTGGCTTTTGTGTTGAAAATTCCCTCCTTTTCTCTCCTCTGCTTCTTCTTTTTCTTCCTCTGATTGATTGATTGATCAGAGAAGAAGTGGAGTGAAGGAAGGGGGTTTTCTCTAATCTCGAATCATCACAGTGCTTTCAAAATGATTCATCAATGCCTCTTCACGAAACCTTCAATCTCTTCTTATTCTTCTTGTTTTTCCATCCCAATTCGAATCCCCAAACCTCTTAATTGCAATCGTCATTGCAGCTTCGATTACTGTTTTCATCACAACAATGGCTTCTTATATTCTTCTTCAGCAAGAATCAGTATTACGTGTGAATCTGCGAATCTGGAGGCGGCGGTAGTTTCGAAGTCGACGCGGGGTGGGCCATACACGGGGAGGGATCCGAACGTGAAGAAGCCGGAGTGGTTGAGGCAGAGAGCTCCCCAAGGAGAGAGGTTTGAGGAGGTGAAGGACTCCTTGTCTCATTTGAAGCTCAATACTGTCTGCGAAGAAGCTCAATGCCCTAACATCGGAGAGGTCTTTCTTTGCTCTCTCTATGCTGTCAATTTCACAATTCTGTTTGTCTTTGCTGTTTATTGTTTGGATTTATTGTACCGCTTATTTGGGTTTTGTGAGGGTTTATTCTGTGTTGCTTGCTGTCTTATATAGTATGGAAAATGCTAACAATTGCCATTGTATCGTTTAATGTTGAGATTAGTGTAAAAAGTGTTTTGGAAATGATAAAAAAGTTAAAATAAGGTATTGGGTTCCACATGTATAACCATTCCCAAGAAAAACTTAGCTAAGCTATTTCAGTAGTGAAAATCCAATGCTGTATGCTGGGTTTCTGGTAACGGTTCACTGGACGCCGGCAGTGACACAATTTTGGGGTATCATGGGCGCGTTACACTTCTGGCTTCCGAGCCGTGGTTTTTTTTCCTTCTTCGCACAACTTCATGAAAACTTATTGCAAATTTGCAACACATTTATTTATTTATTAATTTTTTGTAATTACATTTATTATGGTATGGGATTTGTTTAAATTTAAACATGGTCCAATATTTTCATCTGTCACAAATTCATAATCCACTATTTTTCTATTATGTAATTTGTTACTAATAGATTTATAGCATTGTGTTGTGTTTCAAATTGAAGGGATAAGAAGTTCTAAGTTAGTAATCATAAAATCTACATAAGCAAAGAAGATGTAAGTTAGTAACACAAATCTAAGTTAAAAAGAACAAATCTTCAAGGAATCAATTGAGAACTTAAGCGGTTGATTAAAACCTTCTTCTTTAATTTTTATTTAATTAATCATCTTAAACTATGTCATCTTTCATCAAATATCTGTTGGAAACAAAAGAGTGATTCATCTTCAAATTGTTGCAAACACTGGAAAATTTTAATGACTCTGCAGCATTAGCTCATTTTTTTTTATCACTGGTATTCTATTCAAACTGCATATTTGCTTTTTAAACATCTGCTTTTTCTTTTTTTTTAAAATTTCAAAAACAGAAAAAAGAAACTGAAGATAAAATAGTGTCTTTTACTAATAAATTAATAATGCTTCTGGTTTCGGTAGCTCTATATTATCTGCCTCTTCGCATTCAACTCCATTACCCATCTTGACTGCTAACTTGGCAAATAAAATTAGTTTACGTCTACTTTATGTATGGAATGTGTTGAGCAGTGTTGGAATGGAGGCGGTGATGGTATTGCGACTGCAACGATCATGCTTCTTGGGGATACTTGCACACGTGGCTGTAGATTTTGTGCCGTGAAAACCAGTAGGAACCCTGCACCACCTGATCCAATGGAACCGGAGAACACTGCTAAGGCTATTGCTAGTTGGGGGTATGTCTTATCGACTTCTAATTTATTTTGATTTTTTTACTAGCAGAAATTAAAATGCCTTTCAAATAAATGCATTCTTTTGGGGACCGTTTTGGGGTTTCCAATCAATTTGTACAGCTCAATTCAATTGTACACGAGGTTTCAACTTCTTTTATAGAAATTCATTTGCTTCACTGGAGCCATTTGAGACATTAGTGGCCTATTTACGCTATGTTTGGTTGGAAGATTTGGGGAGGAATTTGGAAATGGAAAGAAAAAGGGAAAAAGTAGGTGAAATGTGAATAAAATATATCTACATTTCACCTAGTGTCACACACCTTTTCCTTTTCTCTTTTCCCTTCCAAATCACTTCCCAAATCCTCCAACCAAATACAGCGTTAAGGAAAATAAATGGCTGAAACTTTAAAATAGTGGCCTATTAGGAATATTTGTTTTCTAATAGAATTATTAATTTCTAGGTTCTATGGTTTTCAGTGTGGATTATATTGTCCTCACGAGTGTTGATCGTGATGATCTACCCGATGGTGGGAGTGGCCATTTCGCTGAAACTGTCCAAGCTATGAAGGTGTATATTTCATGAGTGTAATTTAATTGCTTTTATTTGCTGAAGTTCTTCTGCTTGTCAGCTTAAAAGAGAGAAACATATCTGATTTGCATCTATTCAACTCTCTTGGCAGAAACTCAAGCCTCATATCATGGTTGAGTGTCTAACTTCTGATTTTCGGGGTGACTTAAATGCTGTAGCTACTCTTGTACACTCCGGATTAGATGTTTTTGCCCACAACATTGAGACTGTGAAACGCCTCCAGCGTATTGTTAGAGATCCACGGGCTGGGTAAGTTTTGGAAAAATCATCTTTCTTTTTGTTCCCTCTAATAATTAGCTATACTTATTTGTGCCCATTATTATAGTCATTTTTCGATTTTAACGAGCAAGCTTCATTAATCTTTATGAACCATTTTTAATCGAAGTCCTCCATTCAATTCAATGGGTTGGGACCATGGGAAAGACAGTTTCAGGAATGACCAATGTTTATCATTAGTTTCAAAGTCCCTTGCTGCTTACTTTGTACTGGCTTACCAAATAACATACCAGATTACTCAATGATAACTACCATTTTCAGTTGCCTGAATATTTCCTACAGTCCTCTTTTAAAGCTCTGATTGTTAACTTTATTTTTAAGCTTTTCCTATTCTTTTGTGAATTATAAATGTGAGATCCATTTACAAATAATAAAGGCCATCAGGCCGTGCCTTACAATTGGCTTGCATAGATTTTAGATTTATCTCGTTGGTTCCAACTTGCATTGTGTTGACCTTTCCTTCTCTACTTGTTTCTCCAGATCTTTTTCTTCTTGAAGTATGTATAGTTGTACTTCTTACTTCTAAGTAGTAATGCAGAGAATACAAAGAATAAGAGAAAATTAAAATTTGTACATCTGGCCTATGTAGAACCTTGTAATCAAATTCAAGGTTAATATGAATATTTGTTTTGTGCTTTTTTCCTATTTAGAACATTGCGTAATAAAGTTGTAAGGTCATTATGAATCTTAATTTTGTGTTTTTTGTTAAGCTAAAGTGCTGTTGTACACAATTGTTAATGTTTTATTAGGTTTTAGAGTCAAGGATTATTTTACAATCTTCAGGACATGGCCTTCGCATGGGTCCATAGGTCTTGTTTAGGTTTATTAGTAGGTTAAAAATAAGTGGTCTTTACTGTCTAACGTAGTAGTAGGCAGCAGAGTGAAAATTTCCCATTCTTTGGTCTCAATCCTAGTACAATTAGGAGAAATATAGCTTCTAAGCATTTATATAATCTTTTTAATTCAGTAGAGTTGAGTTTTTAGAGTTTTGACTGCCTTATCTGACATAGCTTGACCCTACAAGGTGAAATTGAAGGACAAATTTCCATGTTTCACATGTATTGTGCACAGCCTGCAAAGAGTCCTTGTTCAACTCTAAAACTACTCTTTCATGCCATTATTAACCTTAATCCTTTGTTATTTTGGTACAAAACAAACCCAAAGAATAGCTTCTGTCCAGAGACTCTCCACAACTAGTTTTCGAAAGTCCAACAAACAAAAACTTTGAAAAGCAAGCAATTTCGGACATGACACATTACGTTATTAGAAGTGTGCTTCTTAGCTGGCCAGTTCCTGGCATGGACAGGGAATACTCTCAGCATAGATTGCTTGAAGGTTAATAGTCTATGTTTTTGTCAGCTGAGCTCTTCAAATTAGATGGGATGAATAGTTTGGAATTTGTACCAAGGATAGTTTGGGTCAGTTGTTGCACAAAAGTTAGGACTGTGGTTTGCCTAGAACCTATTTATTTATCAAAAAGACCAAATATCGAGAACTTATCTCTGTGTGTGTGCAAATTTCTCTGTTTGATAGTTCATAATGTTCCCAATTTGTCAAATTAGTTGTTTCAGTGTTTGCCTCTTAAATGTGCCAGCAAATGAAGTAAAAAGAAATTTATGTTTTTAGAAAATTGCCACCTATAATTTATCTGTAGTTTAAATAAACTTTATTTTAGTGCTACAATAATTTTCATGTTTCTGTAAGTTGCTTTCAGTTTGTGCGTTTACTCATTATACATAGTAAAAATAGAATGTCTTTTTAAATTTTTTTTTTTTTTGAAAAAAAAAGCACGCACACACACACACATTGTAGAATTTACTTCTCAATGGAATGAGTTTTATTCTACTTGACCACTAAGTACTTTATTTGGATGATACAGGTATGAACAGAGCTTATCTGTTCTAAAACATGCAAAGCACAGTAAGGAGGGGATGATAACAAAATCTTCTATAATGTTGGGACTTGGCGAAACTGACAATGAGATCAAAGAAACAATGGCTGATTTAAGAGCCATAGATGTTGACATTTTGACTCTTGGACAGTATTTACAGGTGAGCAAATTTTGACACTAGGACAGTATTTACAGGTGAGCTAATATCAAAAGATACGACAGAAAACCCATTTTTGTTGTAACAGTCCCTACGTGTTCGAACTCGCATGCTTCTGTTCCTGACCGGAATTTTAAGCTCAAAAAGACCTAGTAAAAACCAAACCAAGGGGTTCTTGTTTGAATGGTCCTGATGTGCCTTCCAACCCCAAACGAAAACTACAGATATAAAATCCAACCCATGTATGTGAATGGACATGCGTGGGCGTATTATACCTGAATAACTCTCAGATGCTTATGCATGAATCCTTTAAGCAAATACAAACTCTATCTTTGGAGTGAAATTGCAAACATAGAAATGTCAAGGGAAACCTAACAGTTTTCCTAACAGTTTGGTCTGTTGATGATGAGTCTGGAGGTCTGATAGGTTGGAAACAGACATAGAAAACACTGAAAACTAGTTTCATATGTTTCGTTCTTTTTTTTTTTTTTTTTGAAGTGTTTTCTAGAAAACGAAACAGAAAACAAGTTACCAAATGTGTTCTCCATGTTATCCAAAAAATAGAAACGATACCTGACAGGGTATATTTGCAGTGCACATTAATTTGTAGCCATCGATCCAAGACTTGAATTTTGATAGTTATTCTTTTTCGTGCAGCCAACTCCATTACATCTGACTGTTAAAGAGTACGTGACCCCCGAGAAATTTACCTTCTGGAAAGAATTTGGAGAGTCTATTGGCTTCCGCTACGTGGCTAGTGGACCCCTGGTAAATGTCTGACCTATTTCATATTTAGCTGATGCAATCATCTTCGATTCTTACTTTCTCTGGGAATTTGAAATATTAGTTGATGTTTTTGAACTTAATTCCTTAAACGCTTCATTAATGCGATCATGGACTAGACAGTCTGACTTATTTGTTTTTGAAAAAAAGAGAGGCAGGGACACTGACTCAGTTTTTTTGTCCTTCTAAAGCTTTTAAGGCCTGTGTTTTATTTAGTCAGTTACAAGTTTATGCAAGAGCTTCCTAACATGTTGACTCTTTCAGGTCCGATCCTCGTACAGAGCAGGTGAGCTCTTTGTTAAGACGATTGTGAAAGAAAGTTATAGAAAAACCTATAATGCATCACACTAATTTCAGTCATTCCCTGCAGAGGTATACATGCCTTGTTTTATTTTTATTTATTTATTTTTGAACCAAGTATAAACTCGTTGTTAGGCCACTCGTGGAGAGTGAAGAGAATGTATCATCAAAGGAATAATGGTTTACCACATTATTGTTACAAGTTAAGAAATTAATCTTTAACATAGCATTGTTCTGGACAAGTACAGCTTATTTTATGGTGTCTCTTTTTGGTTGTAATGCTGAATTGGGCGAAACTTTTATACAATGTGTATTTTTAGTGACGGATCAATGACTGAGCATGAGCATATGAATAACTCAACCATGTCATATGAAGTTAGCCCTGTGAACTTTTTGTAATGCTAATTTATAGTCAAATTATAGCCGAATGGTTGCAAAATGATTTGATCACAAATGGCACAATGGTTGAGCACCAGCAATGAGTTGGATTTTTTGAAATAGCCATCAAATCCATGAATCTTGGATGCATCAGATTGAGGAAGTTCTCTAGGTAGGTGGTTTGTGATGAAGTCCCGAGGTGCACGAGATTTTATGCCCCAAAATTTGTCTTTCTGTCTCGATGAACTCTAATCTACACGATTGTATCTTGAGATTCTCACTATATCATATGGTATGGAGTGGGGATTGGAGACGGGCGTTTTAAGTGTAGATTTTTGCTCCTTTGAATTCAAGATGCAGTGTAATTGGTTGTGCCGTTCTACCCTCTAGAATACAAGGGACATTTCTTTTCAATCATTACACTTGGAATCGCCCCCAAATCAATTAGTATCATATAGAGAAATAAATACATTGCAATGTGCAACAAAGGGGGAGCTTTTGAGCAACACAAGTGGTTAAGCAAATTGCGATGAAGCTTGCTGTAGTGGAAGCTATGAAACATGAGTACTTTGAAAGCATATCGCATCCGTATCGGGTATATATTGGCATATGATTCTTCTACATATGTATTGGGCATATGAAATACGTATCTAAATTTTTTTTCTTAATTTTTAGCGTATTCAGACGTACTTAGTATATACTCAAGTTGTACTGTATTTTAGTCAAAATAATATTTTCTTAAAGGGTAAATTACAAACACACTTTTTGAGATTTACTTAAATTACAAATTATTTCTTGTGGTTTTAGAAATTACATTATGCCCCCTAAAATTTTTAATTTCAAAATAAATATGTCATTTTATTAATAAATCATTAAATTAATTAACAGTTTTTAAGAATTTTAAAATTTTATTTCAATTAATAATTTAGATAATTTTATTATTGTACAAGTGAACAGTGAATAGTTAGATATTTCAGTTTTCAATTAATTTTGTTAAATAAAAATTTTTGATAGAGATGTATTTGTAATTTTCTAAATCATATGGGGTAATTCGTATTTTAAGCAAATCTCATAGGGTGTATTTGTAATTTACCCTTTCTTAAATTATAGAGATAAAATTCCTTTCATTATATTTCTTTTTTATTTTTAATTTTATACTTAGTATGATTTTAAAATTAAGTTATAATTTGTAAGTTATTTAATATAATAACATTTAATTTTGGTTTATACATTTACTTTTGACATTAAATGTTAATTGTAGGTTGGATCTAAATAAATTAATCCATTTAATCAATTTTTACATTACTCTAAATTAAAAATAAATAATTTTTTACAAACATATTTAAGCCATATCCGTATCCGTATCTAACTTTTTTAAAATTTTATATTAATAACCGTACCCGTGATTCATAAAGTGGAAGTGTTTCCTCTGTTTGTGAGAGAGAAAGGAATAGATTTCCAAGTGATATCAAACGTGGTAAATTTCCTCCGTTGGTGGTAGATTCCCTCTGTTTGTAGAAAAAGAACTTCTTGAAAATGAATTTTGTATTGATTCTTGTCATGGTTCTAGTCCTAGAACTCATCTCGATTTAGCACAAAATAAAAACATGTTCAATTTCAAAGTAATAAAAAAAATGAAAAATTAGGCTAATTTGGCCCCTCTGCTTTTTGCTTACATTACAATTTGTATTTTTTCAGTCAATTTGTTAGCAACCAATTGTCAGTCTCTTCTACCACACATGTAAATCTCCCTAGACAATGACAAAACCAAGATATCATCAAAGAAAGGGAAAATTTTATTGGGTGGCTCGGGCAATACATCAGCTTTGATTGCAGTCCCTCATGCTCTGCTAGATAGGAAAAAAAAGAAACGAGATGCGTACAATTAACCACATCAGTACATATATATATATATATATATGTATATGATATGTGGCCTATGTCTACCATATAACCTGTGAATTTGATCAAACTTAGATGGATAAACTAACCCTTCATACTGAAAAAAAAAAACAAAAAAAACAAAAAAAAAAAGAAAGAAAGAAAGAAAGAAGAAGAAGGCAAATACATCTCATGTGTAACTTCTGAAAGAGAATAAAGGAGGGAAAAAATAGAAACAGTTGATTTCATTTATGGGATAAATTTCTGACACTCCATTGCTCAACACGGTATGGGTACTTTTTCATTAAGGATTCAAGAAAGGCACTATCATGTCATTGCAAAACATTCATATGTGCTTTTATTATAACCTGAAAATTCCATTTCCTGTCTTTGGCAATGCTTAATTTACAATTACTGAGATTTCTTCAAATAAAACACTAGAGGTCTAACCACAAAAACAGAACATTTGGGGTCCCACACCAAGAGAGAGAGAGAGAGAGAAACAAGTCAGTTTACGTGGAATGGTTGCTGTGGCATCAATTCTTTGCAGCTAAAACATACTTCGTAATAACACCCAATGAGGCAAAATCTTCTAGAGCTTTCTTGAAATCACTGCCAAACACGAAGGGTCTAACCATGGAGGAAATGCATCTTCACGAACCAAACTCTTCGCAGCTAAAGCATACTTCGTAATAACACCCAATGAGGCAGAATCTTCTAGCGCTTTCTTGGAATCACCGCCAAACACGAAGGGTCTAACCATGGAGGAAATGCATCTTCACGAACCAAATTCTGAAACGATGTACACCAACAAAGAGCATCAGAAAGTGCTACTGCAATATGGAAGAAAGCAGCATACCATCAAAAAATTTAAGTACTTTTCTGGTATACATGTTACAATGTCCTGGGTCTATATGCAAAATCAAAGTAATGAAATTCCCTAGTAGCTTCATCCTAAAATTTTCTCAGAGGGGAACATCGAATCCACTTTTATGGATGCAACACCCTTCTGCTTGTCCAATGTTGTGGGTGGAAATTTTATAAAGTACCACAGTTGTTCCGACTAATGCTGAGAATTTGATATACATTCTTTTAGCTCATCAGCATTCTCAAAAAGAATTTGAAGCAAGGCACATAGTCCAGTACTTGGGCATCAAAAGTACAAGGCTAATCTGGTCACGAGTTCGAATCCAACCATCCCTCCTCCCTATCCCCCTAGTTAGCTAGTTTATATGATGTTCTATCACAAAATAATTAAATAATCTAAAAAAACAATGGATGCACTGAATCTTCTCAAACTTAAAAGACAGGCATCAAACAAGATCTAGCATACTTTAGTGACCAACCAACCACAATGGTGAGTTGGCATAAGCAATATATAATAGGTGGTTTCCCCTTCATCTCTCTGTTACCATTCTAGTTGTGGAAAAGTACTTCAACATTTACAGTTGAAGTAGCGAAGTCCGAAGGGAGCACGCGAATACCCCTTTGTTTTTCTTTTTCTTTTCATTTGCTTTGTCAAACCTTAGTAGCAGGAATCGCCTATGAGGGGTGGCATTTCTGCAGTTCAGAGCAAAAAGCAAGTTAGAACTGTGTTCCCAGCAGTAAGAATCACAGTTCCAACTGCAACAGGACTGCTACAACCCATGAATTGAATCCCAAATATGTAGTAAATGTGGTAAAAAATGGTGAAAAATGAAGAACACGTCGAAATGATATAGATTACCCAAACCTATTGCCTTTTGCTCTTTCCACAACAACTAAGCAAAAAACGTCTCTTAGGATATACTAGTATAAAATATATAAATGCTCCCCTAGGCACTCCTAACCTTACACTCTGCATCAAACAATACCTCACATAACCAAAAAATCCATTTCTCATCATTCATGAATCAATATTTAAAAATCAATAGTAATAAAAATAAAAAAATATAATCTTGCAGTGGCCATGAAGAGGAATGTCTCACCAGGAGAAAATTTTCTATTGTAGATTTCTAAATTGGTATTGTTTTGCTTTTCTTTCTTTTACTCACAGGTATTGAGAACTCTTGATGCATCAGTTTTAATTGTTCACAAAGTAATGTGCTGTTATGTCAATTGAAAACTTCTTCATCACTTTTGGTCCAATTTGTGTTAATGGTGAGATTAGGGAAGTTTGTGGCCAAGGTGGTTCCCTCTTCTCAATAATTGGAGGAAGAAAATGTGTTTGCAGGGTCATTGCCAATAAATGCCTGGAATCCAGATTTAGGAAAGCAAACTTTTGTTGAGTAAATTGGGGTGTGGAGAAGGCTTAAGGCCATGGCAACTGGGAATTCCTCTTGTAGTTTCTTAAAGGATGGCTTCTAGAGACGAATGAACGAGTTGGATTGCTTTGTTTCATCAGACCCATCATTAGATAAGCACATGAAAGCCTGATGGTTTCTTTTTCTTTCTTTCTTTTTCCAAAAATTTGAGGGTTTAAGGCAAGGATTCATGCCCTCCTTCACTTTTTAGAGTGATCATGGAAGTTCTAGCAGATTGGTTCACAAAGCAATTGATAATAAGTCCACACAGGGTTTCTTGGTAGATAGTAGAGGGGATAGAGGGGAGTAAGGGAGCTTCTATTTGCATATCCATTACACTCTATGCACATCCTTCTCAATAAATAACTTGTTCGGAAGTAGCATTCCGAAAATTATCATTTCTTTTGACAGTAGAATTTCGAATTTTTTTCATTTTTTCGACATTCAACTTCCGAATGTATTTATTTGAATTGTGTGTGATGTCCATAATAGTAATTTCATTTGAAAATAAAATTGTAATAAAAATAATTATCATTAAGTGTGTGCACAGAGTAGAATATGTGTGTGCAAATAGAAGCTCCCGGGGAGTAATCTATCACTTGCGCTAAGCCAAGATAAATTTTTTTTTTTTTTTTTTTTATAGAGATTAACTTAGATTCTGAATGCCTTAGCTAATATACCTGAGATTTGAGATAGTATCTTAGTATCTAATTCAACATAAATCTAGTTGAGAGTAATAACTTCAGGATGTGGAGGTGGATGAGTCGTCAAATAACTTCAGGGTTTATTTGATGCATGTGCAACTTCAGGATGTGTAATAACTTCCCACAATAAATCCCTCTATAATTTTTTCCAATCTCTTTGACACCAAGTGCTCTTTCTCAGATTTATTCAACCCCATTTAGACAAATACTGTCTCTATACCATGGTACCAATCTTCTTTCAAACCACTCCACCATCCCAAACTGTTATGTCTTTAAAGAGAGAGCTACAGTAAACAAGATACAAGGATGGGAGATAATCCACTCTACAACGAAAAATGGAAGCTACAACCAGCTAATGAAAATTAATGTGTGTGAGCGAGTGTATATATATACAAAGACACCGACCTACATCCAATCTGACTAAATAAAACAGGTTTGACACTAGGTTTCAATTGGAAAGAAGTAATTTTGTTTTAATATAAAAACAATAAACTATATATTGGGACTGAAACATAGTTTGTAGGCTTGTAAGGAGGTGGAGTTCTTACTAGATCAAGGTTGATCCCCATGTGACTATTAAGCACAATATTCAATCTAATCAAATTCATAAAGTGATTCTAAATTATAGTAGTGAAGAGATGCGATATAATAGTGAAGAGATGCGATATAGTGGTGGTAGAGGGAAGTGTTAGGGCAAGGGGCAGCCTAGATTGACGTGGACTAGTGTAGTAAATAGAGATATGAATCTCCTTAATTTGACTAACCAAATGGCCTCTGATAGTCAAGTGGAGAAAAAGAATTCATGTAACCAAACCCATTTGAAAGGACTTAAGGCTTGGTTTGGTTTGGTATAAAGTTATGGGGTTGGATTCTTACCATCCAATCATATTTTTACCAGATGAATCAATATTCAATCTATTAACAAGCCCAGTAGTATACCAAAACGTCTTAGCATGAATCATCGTTTGATGAGTTATAATACAGAGCATTTACTCATACTTTCCCCAGTCAACAAAGAAGCTTATCCTTTAGCTGTACTTCATGTGCTCTTAAGGTAATCCCCAGAATAATTAATTAGGTAAGTGATGAAGTTTGTATATGACTCAAAAAACTGTCTTATTTTGAGTAAGATAAACAAAATAGACCCTCCTAAGCACAGGCTACCCACTACCACCAGAAAAGGGAAGGGGGATGGACCTAAAGAATGAGGATTTGTAATTTTACATGTACAAACAACTCTCTCAATTTGATTTTGCACCAGTAACTGAAAGCAGTGCTTATTGAACTAATTAAAAGCTCAGACTTCCATACTAAACAATATTTCTTCAATTAAGTAATTGCTCTTATGTTGTGTATTAATTGATAATAGAATATAGCCAAATCAACCAAAAGCAAAACAGGCTACAATGGGGGAACAACTCACCTGCAACCAAAAGAAAAACCCACGCAAGAGATTCAATACTTTTCGTCGATCAAATTGGACTGCATCAATCTTCCTTCTAAGAACTGCCATCATTAAAGTAATCAATTTATAAAATTGGCCATCAAGATGGTAAATTTGACTCAAGTTGTATGAAGACTTGCCAAAAATAAAAATAATAAGAAAAAGAACGGTGGGAAATGGATAACCACAAAAGAAGGGTGGAAAATGAAGCTACATGTGCGGTGTTACTTGAAATAGAAAAAAATAAAGCAACTCCAACACCAGAAAACCTGTATGTGGTATTCAACTTACCATCATGTTGATCAAGATAAGACGGGCTGGGGCATCCATCTGCCAAGAATGTTTTTAATGCTCCAACTCCACGCAAGTCTCTATGGCGCCCTTTCTTCGGCCTGTGTTCATTTATATCATGCCAAAGTTTTTCATATTCCTCGTGGTCATATGATTCCCTGAGTTTTTGCATGAGCATCTCCCTAAACCCATAATGTTTACTTGTACTGGGACTTCCAAGGCAGTGCTGCTCATCTTCCTAGATTTTTAGAGTTGCACAACAGAATATAAAACATACCCAAGTCAGAGTAGTTTTCTAAAAAAATTAGAATAATAATAATAAAAAACTTTGCAATAAAGGATGTTACTTACAAATGAATCAGACAGTTTTGAGGTTTTGATTGGATTATAGTTTCCTTCATCAAAATCTGAGGCATTATATTCCAATACTTCTGAATCAGCAGTTTCAATATCACGTCCTTCATATTTCACCGACTTCCCATTAATTGTGAAACCCACACAATCACCTTCCACTTTTATACAATCCAGGACTGTTTGGTAGCATTCATCCACCATATCAGCCTCCATTTCATGCTCACGTTCAACCTCGAATAAACAATTAGCATTTGGACTAGGTATTTTAGTGGAACATCCTTCAGTCTTGCCTGAAACATGATTTACGGGTTCAGGATTCAAATCTTTCTCCACCACAAAATCCATTCTTTCTCCTCCTATATCATCCCTTACACTTTTTGTGGCATCAATCCTATCTTTGCTCATAACATCATTCAGATTTTTCTGGGTTTCCATCTTGTCTTTGCTTGGAACATCCCTCAAATCTTTTGCAGCTCCAATCTTCTCTGTATTTAAAACCTCCCTCCATTTACTCAGAGCGACTGGCTCACACTCGCCATCGAAACCCTCATCTGCTTCATATCTTACAGATAAAGACATCTCATTATTTATGGGAACTTCAAGTACATACGAGTTTCCGTTCACTCTTAATTTCTCCAAGAACATTTTATACTGAGGGTCCACATCATCTTCCTCAACACTCTCATCAATGTCATCCCCATCTTCGCTCACCGAGTAGCCCGATTCACCATGCTCGCTCAAATTATTCAAATACATAATGTAATCCTCATCCTCCATTCCATCACCCAACTTCAAAAATTCCAAATTTCTCTTCAATGATTGAGTAAAAGTATTAATCCCAAGCGGTTCAATATCGAGCCGCCTTCTCTTCAACCGCCTCGCCAACCTCAAGTCAGTGACAGTGTCAAAATCATCCCCAATATTGCTTTCCATTTTAACCCACCAAAATAAATCAATCAATCAACTAACTAAGCATTCCAGGGAACAAATTCGATGCAGAGTAATGTTCTAGCAGAAGAGGCAAGAAAGTTAAGCAATGAATTGAAAAAATATGCATTGTTGGAATCGAATATATCAAATATATAACCAAAAATAGAAAGAAATTTAACATCCCCCCCCAAAAAAAGCAATCTTGAACAATTTTCCAAATCCAATAGTAACTAACATTCGTAAACAATAATATGAAATACTAAATACATAAACATACCGGAAATTGAAACCCTACAATGGTTAATCGTTTGTAAGAGAGTCGCAAACAATGCATGATGTGTGTGCACATATACGTACACATACAAATACAAATATATGTATATATATATATGGAGTGTGTATATATATGGAGAGAGAGGGAGAGAGAGTGAGAGAGATAGAGAGAGAGAGAGACCCTACGGAAAGTGGGAGGTAGAGAGAGCGAGAGGCCAATGGACGAAGCGCGCGGCGCGGTCTCCTTGAGACAGGACGATTCGTGAGACTCTGGGGGTGTTTGGCAATACCCGTTTTTTATTTTATTTTATTTTTTGCTAAAATAAATGACAAAAATACGTTAAAAAATAGTCAATAAAACAACAGATCATATCAAATATATATATATATATATATATTTTTATTCTTTAATTGATTTTTTTGATTTTCGTGTTTTTTTGTTTTCAGTTAATATTTTTAAAATTTTAAACATTTTTTTCATTTTTTTAGATGCACCTTACTTAGATGTATCTAAAAAGTACAAAATTTGTGAAAAAATATTTTTTAAAATTAATAAATGCATAAAAATATTAAAAAATGTACTGATTTCTTTTTTTTTTTGTATTTTTTATATTTAGTGAATTTTATAAATATTATACTTTTTATATGTATTTATGTTAGATGTGTTTAAAAATTAAAAAAATTACTTAAAATAATTAAAAAAATTCAGTAGAAACAAAAAAATAAATATATAAAATAGAAAAAGTAAAATTTTTTAAAAAATAAATTTTGAAAATAAAAATTAAATAGAATGATAACTATTTTAACCTATTAAAATAATAAAAAATTATAATAATCTACTAAAATAACTAATCTGGCATCATTTGAGAACATATTTTTTTAATAATTTTTTAATTTTTTACGAAAAGATATGTAAAAAGTAAAGATAAGATAGACACTTTAATTTTTTTATATAAATTGTTGATTTTTTAATTTTTTTTCTAACTTTTTTATTTTTAAACTAAAAATTAATGTTACTAAAGGAGGCCTAATCTAGGGTCTATCTTTCACTGTCTAATTATTTTGGGAAATAACGAAATAAAATAATAAATAAATTACACTTTGCCTGACATCACTTTCTCACCTTTATCTAGATATTTTTTTTTACATTGAGTTTTTAAGTTTCAAATTCTTTTTCCTGTTTACTTTTAAAATTACTTTTTATTTATTCTTAAAATTAATTTTTGTTTAAAATTAGATAAAAAAAATCATAATTATCACATAATATAAAGAAATGTATTATTATATTAGAATTTAAGTTTATGTTAGGGAAAATTCTAATTTACACACTCTTGAAAAATATATACCATATGCAATCTTAGTTATGTCATTTTTTCTTTAATTATAATCAATTTTATTCTTTAATTATGCATCATATTGTGTTTAGCTATAACATTTTTCTTTTTACTTATGACTTAGAAAGTATGAAGTTATACTATTTTTTTTTTTTAATTATAAGGTACATATGGTACATAATATTTCAAGGGTGTACCATAGTATTTCTCTTATGTTAGAAATGTAAGTTATATGTAATAAAATATTTTTATGTCGCTTGACTATTAACGTGTCATTTTCTGTTTAATTTTTAACAAAAATTAACTTCAGGAGTAAACTGAAAAAAACTTAAAACATGAATGATCAAAATGAAAAAAAAGAAAAGAAAAAGAAAGAAACTTTAAGGACGAAAGTGAAAAAGTGATCAAACGTAAAGGGCCAAAGTGTAATTTACCCTAAAATAATTGTAAACCTCCCTTCAATTTAAAGAAAAAATATAACAAATTTTATAATTTTAACATAATTAAACCAGTCTTCTTTTTTGTAAGGTTAAAAAGATCAAAATTAATACAAAAGATATGAAAATATAAAGATATATAATATAAAATATAATTATTAATGTAAAAGACATGACAATATCATCTTTTCATTCATACGACTAACAAATTTTTAATAAAATGTGATTTACATAAATTAAAATTAAAAAAAAACTCAATATAATTATATAAAACTTGTACAATTTATTCTATTTTCTCTAAATCTCAAAAAAAAAAATCAGTAAAATTTATCCATAATTATATTATACATGAAAATGTTTTAGGTGTATGAAAGAGATTTGCACACTACACTTATGACTTCCAACTTATAAAAATGAAATTATTTTATTATTATTTAATCAATTTCATATTTTTAAATATTTTTTCTTAAATTGGTACTGGATCCAAGAAATGTCACATTATTGTGGGCTATGATGAAGATTGTTGGGAGATTTATCAATAAATCTCAAAATTTAAACTTATGAACCAATTGGTCCCATTTTTGTTCTATTAAACCATTTAGTCCCATTTAATTGTGGGGGACGTAATTACCCTCATCTAACTGTTGCTGATGCAGCTGTCGGGCGGAAATTAGGTGAGGCACGTGTGTCACTCATGTGCGTGATTAGTGAATAGATGTGTGGTGTGTTGCATGTGATACACTGGTAGGGTGTCACAGAATGACAAAGCGCTGTAAGGGGTTTTTTATTGGGCTGAGTTAGTGTGTTTGGGGGTTAACACACAACACACACACTGATACACGGGACACACGCACACAGCTTCTCTTCGATCTGAGGTAAGACACATACAGGGGCTGGCATGGGCTCTCTCTTTCTCCTGTCACACACAGATACACACATACATTGTGAGGGGCAGACAGACACACACACACACAGATACACACACACAGATACACACATACATTGCGAGGGGCAGACACACACACACACAATAGCTAATCGATGCGACGCCGTTGCTGACAGATCAGATCTTCCTGAGCCGCCGGTTCATGCGCCGCCCGCCGAGCCTCCATGTCAGTCGGAGAATGATGCGCGAGCCAGAGTTGAGGGTAAGAGAGGCGGCGGCGGAGCAGATTGAAGAGAGGCAGAGCGATTGGGCGTACTCGAAGCCGATCATGATTCTGGATCTGTTATGGAACTTCGCGTTCGTGTTCGTTGTTTTGTCGATGTTGGTGGTGAGTCGGAAGGAGTCTCCGACGAAGCCTTTGAGGCTTTGGACTGTTGGATATGCGTTGCAGTGTGTGCTTCACATGGTGTGTGTTTCGGGTGGAGTATAAGCGGATAGCACAGAGCCTTGATCGGGGAGACACACCAGTCGGAGAATGATGCGCGAGCCAGAGTTGAGGGTAAGAGAGGCGGCGGCGGAGCAGATTGAAGAGAGGCAGAGCGATTGGGCGTACTCGAGGCCCATCGTGATCCTGGATCTGTTGTGGAACTTCGCGTTCGTGTTCGTTGTTTTGTCGGTGTTGGTGGTGAGTCGGAAGGAGTCTCCGACGAAGCCTTTGAGGCTTTGGATTGTTGGATATGCGTTGCAGTGTGTGCTTCACACGGTGTGTGTTTCGGGTGGAGTATAAGCGGATAGCATAGAGCCTTGATCGGGGAGACACACACAGGGCACTCTCGTCCACGCAGTAAAACAAAAATAAAAATAAAAATTTAAAAAGGACCAAATCAACCCACCAACTGGACTATTTGGTATAATAGAATAAAAGCGAGACTATTTGGTATAACAGTTTGTGAAGTAGGATTTATTGGTAAATAATCCAAGATTGTTTTGCAATTTTGAGTAGATTGAGAAATAATCTTAATTAGATGTTGTTTGTGAAATAATCTTAATTAGAGGTTAGTCATTGATGAATTGAAATTTATTAGAGATTGTTTGTGGAGTGGCTATAATAGTTAAAAAAATTATTATAAATTATCACGGCATTCTCTCTATTTTTTTACATATTTTTTTTTATAAAAAGTTAAAAAAACTTTCTAAAATGATTAATTCCTAAATGAACCCTTAACTTATTATTAACCCTGTATAGTCTCAAAACTAATGGGCTTGATTGAGTTATTTTGTGATTTCTAACCAATGAGCTGCTTAGAGATAATCAGGGGCTGGGTTTGGGACAATTTTGTAATAACTCACATCCATCCAGCATCATATTAGGACCAGGGCAAATTGGGAGGTAATGAGAGCGGAGTGGGAGAAGTATTAATTTTATAAATTGAAGAATGAGAATATTAAAAGAAAAAATTAGAGATAAGATAGTATCTTATGAATAATAATTTATACTTAATGAGAATTATAAGATATAAGATAAAAATAAATAAATGATTAAAAATAATATTAATTATAATATTTTAGTGTTTAAATTTTATTATAATATAAAAATAAAATTATATATTATACATATAAATATATTTAATAAATATAAATATAATTGGGATTGGAGCTGGGCAGAGGAAAATGATCATCCTTAAAATTGTTATTTGTTTTTGTTTATTTCAATTTTTACCCACCGTATGCATTAGTTTCAGCAATTTTAATTATATTAAAAGAAATATCAATATAATTATGTCAAAAGTATATACCTAACTTTATTTTCTACAAATCTCAAAGGAGGCTAGTGTAATTCACCCAAACATATATATATATAATTTTTTTGGTAAAATATATATTTTTGTTGCATATTGTGTTTGAAAACAATTGAGAGGAGTAGTGTCATGACCTAACCCCCACCCCAAGGGATTAGAGAAGTGACCAACTAGTATACTTAATAGTAAGACGGTAATAGCGGTTGCTGGAGGCCAATAAATAATAAAATGCAACATCCAATGAGCTGCGAAAACCTACATGAACAAAAACGAGCCTTTATATGTTTATATCTACACATGAGTCCCAACATTAAGCTTATATACACGTAGTCCACGACAAGCTTAAGTACCAAAATGAAAACAAACCTAGGGATTTAATCCCAATAACAAAACCAGTTTGATCAACAGTCATAATCACATACAAAACTTGTCTCGGTATCATTCAAACCATTTATATGCAAAAACAACAGGTGAACTCTAAATTGCCCAAAACCCTTAGAGCTTGACTAGATGGAACCGTGTTGTGAGGCATGAGCGTTGGCTTGACAAAACAAGGATTAGGTTGACGCCACTAGTTTCGATCTTGAGCTTGGTTGCCTAAATATATATATATATATAACAATGAGTTAGAACATAGTGAATAATAACAGTATAAAGAAGTAATGAATGATGTCCCTTCAGTAATTTTAAACAGTCAATTTCATCATTGAATGAGTATCTTATAATGGCCCTGTTCGGTACAGTTTTTTTTCAGCTTATTTCAGCTTTTAGCTTAATTTAAGCTATTT